AAAAGTTTTATTTATCACTATATACATTTTAGTAACCATTAAAATAAATTAGTTAATACCATCTATATCAGAGTTACATAATAACGTTCACAATTTGTCGTTAAGTTGCAAGATTTCATAGTAGGTACATACTACAAGTTCGCAAAAACACGCGTTTACAAGGTATAAAGATGTTAACTGTTGATATTGTGAGAAACAAGGCATTTTAAACCAAGGAACACATCATTTACGTCGTGTTTTATTTGTTAATTTCATCGTCGATTAGAATAAACATTTCAAGCCAAACAGGTTCGTTAGAATCTTATTTGCTAAAATTTGCGTATTCATAATTCTGACAGGCCTTAGTTTGGGGTCCAGTAAACGTTACCGTAAACACAGGTATGCAAAAATACCATATGAAATGTAATAAAGTATCTCACTCCAGCAACAAATTAATTATACTATATTCCGAAAACGTTTACTTCAATACTTAGTAATATAATTTTTCGCCCATCGGGACCAGCTAAGACGTCTAATTAAGCATACTGCTAGATCTTATATAATAATTTTAGTTTAACAGTTTAATTTTCCGACTTTTTCACTGCAACTCCCCTATTCCGTTTCATTAGAATGGTAAATGTCAAACTTCGTGTACCAGTGATGAGACATACTCAGTGAAATCGAGAATAGATGTTAAAATATATCGCCTGAGTACCTACGACATAATTAATCAGTGTTGTAATATCACAATAACTGAAACGCGACACGCGGGTATTACGTTCGTTCCTCGAACGTGCAAGATGTGAAATGATCTCTCTCCTGAAGCGTTTCCTTTGCGCTATGACATAAGATTTTTCCAAAATGCGTGTCAATGGGGCTGTCAAAGGCATATAGGCACGCATAGGCAACTCATCTGATTTTGCAGATGTCCATGGGCGTCAATGACTACCTCCCTTCAAGCGGCTCGTCTACTCGCTTGCCTCCTACTTTATACATAAAAAAGGCTGTCAACTTATGTAAGGATAAAAAATATTTATTAGGGTCCGTCGAATAATGACGATTAGACGTGAGCCACAATTTTTATTTTTTATTTAATTTCCATAAATGGAGTATTATATTAGTACACATTGAATAAAAAGTCGCCAAGCGTGTAATTTAGCAGAAAATAACACAATGTAGCTCAAAGTAGACAACATTTTAAAAATACTGCCCAATTCTTTCTCGACTGGAGTAATGATCGACTCTATATTTCCAATGTGTCATAAACTTTTTCCGTCAGACGTGACTTCGTAGTGTTAAGTTGTAAATAAAATAAAAAAATATAAACGTTTGTATTTCTACCTAGTGAAATATGATTCGTGGATTTTAATTACTGTAAGTTAATGAGTGGTAACGGAAATATGAAAAGTAATTAAAGTTTTATCCTGTTTAAAAAATACAATTTGTAGAACGCTGCTACAAATTCACGCCGTCTTAATTTATCATTCTAATCATAGTAAATTTTACGAGTATACAATACGGAAAGTATACGAAATTTTCTCCACATCAAAACAACAAAAAATTACAACGATTAAGTGCCTAAAAATTCATGAATTCAATAATTTTAAGTCTTAAACTCTAACTATATTTAAAATTCGAAAGCCTCGCGCTTAATATTCATGTTATAAACAAATTGCGACATTAGGAGTCTTAAAACTAATCAGGTTATAATGATATGCAAGATTCGGTCTCTTCGGGTTTCTTGACCCTTGGGCGCGTCCAAGTATTCGATGTCAAATCATGAGACTGTTAAATTAAGCAAAACCAGTTGAAATTTACCATCTAATTGACACCAAGTTAAATCTTTCCTCACAATAGTTAATGTTACAATATTAACTGCTCAAATTTAAAAGACTGTAGCTGTAAGAACAGTTATACCATTTTCTTTAAGGGTACTAACTTAATAACTTAAATAATAAATGGTATGGGTATAATGTAATTATGTGGAAATGGAATATATATTTTTCGTTGTGAAAATCATTATACATGCTTAACTATCACATCGCAATCACGGTAGTAAAGTGACAAAATTATTTGAAAAGTAACATTTTGGCACTGACAAACTAAATAAAAAAAATAGAAATATAATTTTTTTTATCACATCTATCAAATAGAGTTTTGTCATATTTGTCATACATAAAAATCTATTTTGTCACTTAAAAAAAATATTTTTCGAATTTCGTACTTTTTATTAAAGATAAACATGCAAAAACTCTACTTCTGCCTTATATTGCTTATTATAATTCAGCAAATATTAATAACAATTTTATTTATTATACTTTGTACAATTTTTACACAATGATCTACTCTTACATAACGCGTACCATCTGTTGGACGAATAATCGAAACCACCCACATTATCCATTATCATTGTATTAGTAGCCGTATTGTCATTCTTAAATTATTTTCACATATTGCTTAAACTTTTATAATATCAAATTGTGGACGTGGAACCGTAATATTTGCGTTTATGGATATTTCAAAAGGAAAAAAATATTTTGCATTCAATAAATAAAGTTTTTGAAATGAAAGTAACCACATTCACACGTCGCTGCTCACGTGGCAAAGCTGACAAAAGACTTCAATATTTACGCAGCGATGTAGTGTAAGACACAATGGGGAATCATAGTAAAGAAAGGCCGAGTAATGAGCAAAGAGTGTAGGAATAAAACTGGTTCCAACGATTTAGAATCAACGTTGGAGAAAAACACTAACATGAGAAACCAGTCGAACTGTGGGCCGCGTGCTTGTCCACACAACGATTGCTCAAAAAGGACGTCTCTGAATTACCCAGTCCCAAAGGAAAACTCTCTGAGATATTTTATGAAGGCTGTCAAGATAAGAACGCGTGTGTATGAAAGCAATTATGTCCAATTTTGGGGTGTAATATCACGATATAATCGTTACGTTAACGAGAACCAAATAACATGACATATCTGTAGGTTCGCAACACCAGTTTCACAATATGCGAAATTAAATTTTAAATTAAAACAAAATTAAATTTTTTAAATTAAATTACTGATAAAATATATTAAAATTAAATTTAAAAAAAAAAGTGTTAAGTGTTTGATGAGGTAAGTGTTAGACTGAGATTGGGAAACGTAAAGCTACAGTGTAAAATATAGGTAATTGTTACTTATTATAAAACATGGGGACATGTGGCAGTGTCATGATTAGAGTCAGCAAGCGCGACGAAACTTCCACACTCAATACTATCGCCCATGTCATCTCAGTGCAACTGGGTCGACCGGACACCAGATTTCTACTGCCCACACATTAAACCGCCAAATAAAAACTTCATAAATTACAACCACACTCCAAGTACCCAATGACATCTTAAACCGGCCGTTTAAGCGTAAGTGGTGGTACGGCAAAACCGCATAGGTGTAACATACGTAGCTGCTCTGACGAGATGAAAGTGTTCTTAAATTGGTCGGTTATCGCATAACCATACGGGTGATATTTTCGAAAGTGTCGGGCCTATTTGCACATGTCATCTAGATGCAGTTTCAAAACGATGTAGCAAACTGAACGCAAATACGAGTATACTGTTTTTATAACATCAATGATCTTATACATATATAATTTTGTATGTGACAATACAATATAAAACAATCCCAATAAAAAAAATCCCTAGAGTTTCTTGCTCGTTCTTCTCAGGGAGGTCAGCATAGTGAACGAGCAGTAGCTTAAATGTGACGTTTTCAAGTGTAAATTTATTTTACCTATGGAATAAATAATCTTTGACTTTGACTTTGACTTAAAACTTCATGTATTGTCTACAAACGTTCTTGCAGAAAACGAAAAAATAGATTTTTCATATTTCTTAAAAATACTGTAGACAGATATGATTATACCTACAAATTACGCAAGCTGAGCTCCATTTAAATTTAAGTATTTAAGTCTCTCTAATATTTGATCAAACCTTAGAGCTGCCGCCTTGAGAATGTTAGATGTAGGTAAGGTACACCTTATGCCCACACGCCTTGCGCAGTCGTAAATATCTGTCAGGATCTAAATATTTCTCCGAAACAATATTGTTATACAGGCATATAAGAGTATGTATACGAGTACGAGAATAGGTATAAACTAGGTAGAGTATTTTCCTCAACTAAGTTTATAACTTTAAAAAACTATTTGACGTAGTAAAACCGTTTCGAAACGAACATAGGTATTATTTGACCGTAAAATAATACTCTACTCAAATAATGGTTGTTGGCAGAGTCTACTGTACTCTGTATCGACCAAAAACAACGCAGGTAAGAATTTTACCCCTCCACCTTAAACACCTTACAACGGCTCGAACAATAGAACCGCATCTTTTTATTCGGACAAACTGCGTCAAGTCAATCAGGTGTTTTGAATAATTTAAGGAGAATGGAAACATTGAACACGCAAAACTATAATAAAGTTGACTAGGTACTTGAAATAATTACGAACCTGTCTATTGTTTTTCAAAATGTCACAAAAATCCTCTCAATACTCGGTTAAATACAATAATATCCAATTTACATTTGTTTGACTCTGAGGCATCCAACACTTTAAATAGTACAACGGTATTTCATAGTCTGCTCTATTGTAAAAACAAGCTGTTCTTCATTAAATATCTACGGTGAAATACCTCGGTTCTAACGATTACTCATTTGCAGTACATTCACACTTATGTTCGAGATGATTTTTTTTTATACGTAATAGAACGGCATTGTGGTGTGTGCTTATGTTTTGTGACGTGTAGCGGTGTACCTCGTAGCGTAGTGGTAGAAACTGGCTATAAAGCCCGCCCACATGGCACCGCCTCTACACTAGACGCAAACAGCTCCTAGCAAGTCGATCCATCGACCTAAAATAAATACTGTTTTTATTACCTCACCGTTTGTATTGACAGCAAGAATTCGAATTAATTATTTGACTTTATCGTTAAATGTTTAATTCTAAAAATTTGATTAATTCAAATAATTAACCTTTTATTTTCTTTTTTCCAGTATGCATCGGAACCAACGGTCGGATGTCAGTTCCGTCGAATCGCGAAATTCACTACCGGAATCTTCGCGACCGTTTCACGAATTGTACTTACGTGGACGGCAATCTGGAGCTTACGTGGCTGCAAAACGAGACGATGGACCTGTCGTTTCTCAAGAATATACGCGAAGTAACCGGCTACGTGCTTATTTCGCACGTCAATGTGCGCCAAATAATCCTGCCGGAATTACAGATCATCCGCGGACGGACACTTTTCAAAGTCAACGTACTCGATCAAGATTTTGCTCTTATGGTCACTATGTCCACGGCTTATACTCTAGAATTACCTTCGCTACGTGATGTTCTCCGTGGTAGTGTAGCTATTTTCGACAACTATAATATCTGCCACGTAAAAACTATCAACTGGGACGAGATAATTACAGGTCCGAATGCGACCTTTGTCTACGTCTACAACTTTACAGCACCAGAGCGACAATGCCCAGAATGTGATCGTTCTTGTGTGGCAGGTTGCTGGGGAGATGGCCCTCATAATTGCCAAAAATTTTCAAAAATCAACTGCAGCCCACAATGTGCACAAGGACGATGTTTCGGCCCAAATCCACGAGACTGTTGCAACACATTCTGCGCTGGCGGGTGTACTGGCCCGCTGCCCAGTCAATGTCTAGCATGTCGAAATTTTTACGATGAGGGAACATGCTCTCAAGAATGCCCTCCAATGCAAATATACAATCCTACGACGTATTCATGGGAACCGAATCCGAACGGCAAATACGCGTATGGGGCAACGTGTGTACGAAATTGTCCCGAACATCTTCTAAAAGACAATGGCGCTTGTGTAAGAAGCTGTCCCCCTAATAAAACCGCAGTAAATGGAGAATGCATGCCTTGTAATATAACTTGCCCAAAAACTTGCCGTGCAGATAAACCAATTAATTCTGGAAACATAAACAGCTTCATAGATTGCACAATTATTGATGGGTCCGTAGAAATCTTGGAGATGACTTTTACTGGGTTCCAGCATGTTTATCCAGACTACTCTTTCGGCGAACGCTATCCTCCCATGGAACCAGATCGTCTTGAAGTATTTAGCACTGTGCGTGAGGTGACTGGGTACTTAAACGTCCAGGCTCACCATGCAAACTTCACTAGTTTATCGTACTTCCGCAACTTGGAAGTAATTGGGGGACGACAGCTGGTCGAAAACTTATTCGCTTCTTTATACATAGTCAAGACATCACTAACATCATTAGGCTTGAAGTCTCTGAAGAAAGTTAATTCAGGTGCAATTGCAATTATAGAAAATCGAAATCTCTGCTTTGCCGACAAGATAGCTTGGTACAAGTTAGTGAAGTCAAAAGACCATAAACAAGTTATACAAAAGAATGGCGATCCAAGAACTTGTGGTGAGTTTGCTAGGCGTCGCTACTTTAGTTAATGAGGATCCTCATATTCTGCTTTATTGCCCTAATTTTAACAAGTTTCTAATTATAAGCCCTTGCGATCCATTTTTTTTGTTTACTGTCTAACGAATATATGAACATTCGTGGATTTCATGTTTTATTTTTAACGACATTTGGTAGGTTAAAACACCACAACTGTTCATATATCTTTTAAATTGATTTGCAAGCGAATTTATGCACTTTAAGTGCCTTGTAAAATAATCATCTTCAACTCTATATTAGACATAAATTTATACACGAAAGTCAAAACTATAAAAACATTCTGAAATTGTTCAACGGCACCCAACACAAACTTACTAACAATCTAACCGCTGTCGCTACATTCATACCAGCCAAGCGAATTGTTTTTTTTTTTTGTACTATGTTAAATAGAGGTCTAAAAGGAACTATTTTTTATGCACTTGTTACCCTAACCCACAATATACTCCACAGAAAAGGCAAATTTGGTGTGTGACGCTCAATGCTCCTCGGACGGATGCTGGGGCGCTGGACCAGACCAATGCTTATCCTGCCAAAATTTCAAACTCGGTGAAACATGTATACAAAATTGTAGTGTACAAACAGGGTAACTAACATTTTATAGTGCAACATTTATGGGTTGATTTTTTTTAGTTTTTATGCTAATTTTCATGAGTGACTTTTATCGTTTCAGGCTGTACAAAGCTGGACCGAAAATCTGTAAGCAGTGCCACCCCGAGTGCATGGACGGCTGTACGGGGCCTACTCGCGCGAATTGCTCCAAATGCAAGCACGTGAGGGATGGCCCATATTGCGTCAGCAAGTGCCCAGAAACAAGATTCGTTTCTGAAAATGGCACGTGCCAACCTTGCCATAACAACTGCAACGACGGATGTACAGGCCCAGCTAATATTGTTGGAGAAGGAGGCTGCAACTCTTGCAAGAAAGCAATAATTGGTGATGAGGCTACGGTTACAAGTTGTCTTAAGGAAAACGAACCCTGTCCAGATGGGTACTACAACGAATGGGTTGGGAATGTTAAATCTTTGGAAGGAAAAGTAAAAGTAGTGTGCAGGAAATGTCATCCTTTATGTCTTAAATGTAACGGTTATGGAATTCACGAGCAAGTGTGCCAAGTATGTAAAAGTTTTAAAAGAGGAGATCAATGTGAAGACGAATGTCCTGCCGACCACTACCCAGAAAAATTTAGCAGTATTTGTACCCCATGTCATCATGAATGCAAAGGTTGCAATGGTCCCTCGTCGACGGATTGTATCAAATGTCAAAATTTGAAAACATCACTAGATGAATCTAGTTTCAACTGCACTGATACCTGCCCTGATGACAAGCCCCATAAAATATTTTTCGATGAGCAATTGCAAAATCCTATTGACGAGCCGTACTGTTCAGAATCAGCAAGCGGTATTCCTTCCATGGCGACAGCCAGAACTCCAACAGTTCTTGTAATCATTCTAGTTTTTGCTTTTATGTCACTTATCATACTTGGCATAATAGGATATTTCTGCAGGCAAAAAGCAAAAGCTAAAAAGGAGGCAGTGAAAATGACTAGGGTATTAACGGGTTGTGAAGACAATGAGCCTCTCCGACCCACTAATGTAAAACCTAACTTAGCCAAACTAAGAATCGTCAAAGAAGCGGAGCTCCGACGAGGAGGCATGTTAGGATTTGGCGCATTTGGAAAAGTCTATAAAGGTGTTTGGGTACCCGAAGGTGAAAATGTTAAAATCCCTGTTGCCATAAAAGTACTCAAAGAGGGATCAGGTACGAATTCAAGTAAAGAGTTTCTAGAAGAGGCATACATTATGGCAAGTGTAGAACATCCTAATCTTCTCCAGCTTCTAGCTGTATGCATGACAAACCAAATGATGTTGATTACCCAGTTGATGCCATTAGGTTGCTTGCTAGATTATGTCAGAACTCACAGAGAAAAAATAGGATCGAAGGCTTTTCTTAATTGGTGCACTCAAATCGCTCGTGGTATGGCATACTTAGAAGAAAAGCGACTAGTACACAGAGATTTAGCTGCAAGAAATGTATTAGTGCAAACTCCGAATTGTGTTAAAATAACTGATTTTGGATTAGCTAAACTATTAGATATTAATGAAGATGAGTACAAAGCAGCAGGCGGTAAGATGCCTATTAAGTGGTTAGCATTAGAATGCATCCAGCATAGAATATTTACGCATAAGAGTGATGTTTGGGCCTTTGGTGTTACAATATGGGAAATTCTGAGTTACGGAGCGCGTCCTTACGAAAACATTTCCGCTAGAAATGTTCCCGAGCTCATAGAAAATGGTCACAAATTGCCTCAACCTGGCATTTGTACTCTTGATATTTATTGCCTAATGATCAGATGCTGGATGCTTGACGCCGACAGTAGGCCAACATTCAAGGAATTAGCGGAGAAGTTTGCTGAGATGGCAAGAGACCCCGGACGATACCTTGTCATTCCTGGAGACAAATTTATGCGCCTTCCAACGTATTCATCACAGGTAATTTTTTCTATTTTTTTAACATGTAGGTCCTTTTCATATAGTATACATTTTGCGTTTTTACAAAATTTTCTTATAATTTCAGGACGAAAAGGAAATGATAAGAAGTATTTCGTCAGCAATAGAAGGTCCAGAGCCAATAATGGAAGCTGATGAATATCTACAGCCCAAATTCAGAACTGTACCAGGTACAGCCACTTCAAGTTCAGCAGTCAGCGCTGGAATGGAGACACAAACTAGTTCGCTAAAACCTTGCACGTCCTCGTCGTGGGCCAACAATGCCACTAGTCCCGAGAGCGTTTCCACTGATGGCTCTGTCAGACCTGAGAACTGGGATCGTGAACTCTTAAGGTACAATCATCAGATGAATCCAGATGGCACAGAATTAAGGCACTATTATAACAACGGTGTCAGTGCATCCGATACATCAAGTTCGAGGTACTGTGTAGACCCTATGAAACTTCGTCCAGAAGGTCCTTTGGAACCTAATTTTGACAGTATGTCAAAAGTTAAGGAAGCTCAAGTCGGTAACCTGAAATTAAATTTGCCTCTAGACGAGGACGATTACTTGATGCCGTCGCCGCAGCATAGTCAGAACACTTCTGCGTACATGGATTTAATAGGAGAAGGAGGTGAAAATCAGGAAGCGAAAGACGTGCAGCTACCTTATGATGGCTTCGTCGGGCCTAAGCGATGTGTGGACAATCCAGAGTATCTAATGTCTGACGAGAACGTACCAGCGCAAACACTTGGGATCCCTACGGAGCCAATGCCGTTAGAATCGCTATGCGTTAGTGAAGGCAGCGGCAGTGAGTCGACACCGAGGCCAGGCACTAGTAAGTTCCTGCCACAGCGGTCAGTCGAAGAGGAGTCCATGTCTGATCACGAGTACTACAACGACCTGCAACGCGAGATGCAGCCGCTGCGCCGCAACGAGACTACCGTTTGAACCGCTGTGTACGCTTCCGTGTGATGTATACGTAGACTGATTTCTGGCAACTATTGACTATATTACTTAAAAGACGCACACGTGCGCTCTTCGTGCCATTGGTGTGATGGCTAGTGTTAGTTTGTTGAAAAACTTTAACTAAGAATTTTAATTAGTTTTAATCGAGACATTTTGTTATTTTTTTTTTCTACTTAATATTCTGTAAATGTACTGTGAATTATGAAATTTAAAAATATACCTGACATTTATTGGGTGCTCTGCACTTAACAAAATACAAACAATATATGTTATTTATTAATTTAGATTAAGAATGGCTATGTTCAGAAGTAGGCTAAGTTGCTGAATAAGCAAGTGTTATTTTTATTTTAAAACTGTGATAATTAGTTTAATTCCTATAAAATGGACACCAGTGAACTTCTAAAGGTTTTTCAACTTCTTAGTTAATTACATCTATCACTATGCAATGAAATACACGATATTTATGTATAAAAATCACATTCCGATTTGTAAGACATTTAGAACTTTGCTTTTAGTAAATGTTATAATATGGCTGTTAAATGTTGGGTATTGTGCAAAACAGTTGTACTTCAGATAATTAAATAGACATTGTTTTTGTTGTTGCCATGTTTAGTTCTCTGTCAAGTGATCTACAACATAGACTTTTATCTTCTTATTTCACAAATGAATATCGTACACAGTCTTTTGAGCTTAATACCATCATCAAGAACTTGTTCTTCCATTTACGAGTCAGATCTTGCCATGGAATGATACCACTACGCCACTAGCTTGCTATAATTAAATACAACTTGCCTGGCTTATAGAACCTGACTCGAAGCATATTTAGACGCTGATAAGTAGTAAAGTGTCAACTAACATAACCATAGTTTAACGAAAATGGCGCCTAAATATATTTTCGTTGTTTTTGATAGTTTGTGCTTGTTGTTGTTGGGGAAACTCAAGTAAGTAGTAATAAATCACAAAAATTCATCACGAGATTTTCAACAGCAAAAGTTTTCATTTCTTTATTTGTAAGTCAATGTTTCACAAGCAAAGTTTAGAATGAACTGTCAAATACAACGAAAAAATGTTTAGGTGCCATTTTCGCTAAACTACGATCATTTTGGTTCACATGTTATTGTTTATCAGCATCCATTTTACTATTATATTTTAATGTAAATATTTTGTTAATAAATGACTATACACTTTCTATGAACTATTTAAAGCAGCACAATAAAAGACATAATTTTAGGTTATTGAGCACTGTCTTAAGCACAAAATGAGCTCAAAATTCCAACTAAAATGCAAATATTTTGTTAATATATTAGTTAGGTTATCTTGTTTAGACCAAACTCGTTTGCCATGTAATATGTAAATAATTCAATTATGTAAATAATATTATTTTAGTAATATTTTTCAAAGATATATGTTTATACTGTATGTAACAGTCACTTAAAAAAATGTTTTATATACATTTTTATGTGCAAAAATCCCCTGATTACTATATTCGTGCCATTCACAAGTGTTTCCGATTCATATTGCTTTTATAGATATGTTTTAACCCATGAATTTGGGGGTGATTTTTACTATTTATTCCATCCACTGTACACCATTGTAATTTTACTATTACAACTTCAATTTAGATTCAAACGTGGATTTGAGTAGGAAACAACTTATTCATTTCTAATCTCAGGGGTTTAAAGTTAATTAACTCATACCCACGAATTAATACACGACTAGATATATGACTGTTTCAAATATTGTTTAACAGCTATGTGAACAACGTTGTCATACGCATTCTATTTCATTCTTATGCAATTTACCTTACCAGTAACTTCCTGTTTAAATACAAGAACTAGCTTGTAATTTGCTTTTAAAACAGCGCTTCCATCTCCTAAAATAAATAAGATCACATTTTATTCACCTGTGATCCATCAGGTATATCACATATCTTGGTTTCCAAGGCGTTACTTTTTCTTGCATGATTTACTGTCGTTTGTTTTCCATCTAGTATAATCACTAGAGCTAAAATGTTCCAAGTCGTGTTTTAATCGTGGCCGTATTTTATACTTCAATAGGGAAATGTGTAGGTACTATAATGAAAGTTTTATAACAAATGTAATAAACTTGTATAAATTGCGGTTGTTGGATGTGTACTATGGACCACTGATAAGAAGGTTTAAAACCTTGATCTATACAAAACATTAAGTGATTATAACTGCTAAACCAACAATAAAAATATACGATTACTTTATACCTTTTAAATCTTAGGAGACAGAATAATTAAATTGTTCGCATCTTTTTTGTTTCTTAAGGGACTAAGGAATTAATTCACTGGTTTCGGTTTAATGTTATAAGTATATAATAACGTATTAAATCCCGATGGACGATACAATACTATAAGTAAATGATAATTTCGATTATTTAATGAGCTGTTACTGTTGCTATTTAATATTAAAAAAATATCTTGTGCCTAAATTTTATGCACCTGCCATATTGACGCAGAAATTTAAATTCTAGCACCATATTAAGAAAAACATCCCATGTAACAACATCAACATGACAAATTTGTGCACAAGGTGCATTGACTTGTAAGTCAATGACAAGGTGCAAAAAATTCAATATTTCAAGTTTTTCTTGAATATATGTAATTTCTTCTGCTAAAGGTTACAAATACACGTGGTCCTAAGACATATTATGCAACAACCAAATGATAGTGATTTTTAAGATCATTGGGTACATAAATGTAAATCCTATTTTACATGGCTAACTTACTTTTGTATGTAATACGTCGTGATCGATGAAATTTAATGTAGGTACTTGTACCTTAATAAACGAAATAAAAAATGCTGTTTTTATTAAGTACTACCCGCGACCGGGAATTCGGCGTATTTCTACTAAATCTAGGTATTTAGTAGCAATTTCTTACCCATAGAATTAATGAAATCTATTGAAACAACTACGACAAAATTTGAAATAAGAAAAAAAATTAAAATATTAATATAATAATATTTGTTACTTAAAAAAAACAATGTTTCAGGAATTTTTACAGGTCTCACAGCCAAGATCACGGCTCACTATGAGACCAGTAAAGAGCCCAAAACATTGGTTTGCTTGAAAAAAAGAAATGTATTACATAGCGATTTCAGATCTGAAAAAATAATTCCAATTACAATGTGTAGTATTCAAAACCTACGTATTCGGTAACTACTACTTATAACCAGCGCTGGCGCTAACCCATGTAGCGCCCGGCTGCAATACCCTGGCGCCCGTACGCGATCAAAATGGAATTTTATATTTCCCCAGTGATCGGAAATTCATGTGTGTGAGGACTGATCCGAGTGCAAATGGTACAATTATTAATAATATTGGGAAGCAATAGCCGATTACTTCGCTTACGCCGCAAGCGATGCGGGGTCTTTGGAGGCGTCATCAGTCGCGTGTGGCGGCATTCGATACCTCCTGGCCGTCCTGCGCCCATGTGGGCCACACACTGCACCATAGGGAAAATTGACGCAGAGTCGATTACAATTTTTTTTATAATAATAATTATTTATTTCTCAAATTCAAATACAAACGTTATAATAAACAGATTCAAATTTAAAAACAAGAACAATATTATATAATTACTGCACGCGGCGCATGATCAGGTTCACATTACAGATTATATTATACAGATTAGTGGCACAGCGGTTAGTACTATCGGTATCTCGACCGTCTCTCTGTTAGATTCCTTTTTTTTTTGTCAGTCTGGTATACATAGTACAGGAAATTCGGCAGAAGTTTGTTCTGGTGTTTTTTTCCTCCACGTATACTTCTCTTTGGCATAGCTTCCAAAAAAGGGAATCTAACAGAGAGACGGTCGAGATACAACAACGGTATTATAACAATCTCATTTCCACTACATCGGAAGTATGTCTTCTCCGTGGGGCGTGGTGTGGTGGCTTTAGATGCCGCTTATTATCACCGGCTCGCTGTGGCAGTCTCTTTGGACGAGAGTCGCCAAGGAGAGTGTCACACTTGCCAAAAATATTCGATAGTGTCTTAGCTAGGTGGAGTGTCACTTAAGCCAGAGGGATTTCAAATTGTCGGAATTATTTTGTACATACATTTATTATGAAATATTACAGTTTATGAAGTTCACGAGGCCGTTATAAATTCCCCAAATAAATATCCGTACATTTGAAGTCAAAGTCAAAGTCAAAGATTATTTATTCCATAGGTAAAATAAATTTACACTTAAAAAGTCACATTTAAGCTACTGCTCGTTCACTACGCTGACCTCCCTGAGAAGAACGAGCAAGAAACTCTAGGGATTGCTCTTTTCAAATAAACTTAAATGCTATGGAATACACTTTGAATCAAATTTGTGTGGATTCTGGAGCCATGTCGTCTTTCCAAACATCTTTATCTAACACATAGTCTTCAATTTTGTAATATGATTTTTCGATCAAAATATTTTTAATGTAGTTTTTAAACTTAGGAAATAATAAATTTAATATGTGCTCCGGAATCTTATTGTAAAAACGTATACAGTTAGTTCCCCATAAAAGAGTTGTTTACCTCGGTTAAACAAAATCGTGGTACCATGAGTTTGGACTTAGCTCTAAGGTTAATATCTATGGATATCTTCTTTCTTATTGAAATTATGTATATTTTTACGGGCATATAAAATATTGGAGTAAATGTACTGTGATATCACGATACCAGTCTCCTTAAACTTTTCTCTGAGAGAAACCCGAGAGCCTAGACGGTACACAGAACGAATCGCTCGTTTTTGCAATACAATATGGTTTGAATATCTGCCGCTTTACCCCACATGAGAATCCCATAGGACATTATACTATGGAAGTAACTAAAGTAAACTAGTCTAGCAGTACTAACATCGGTAAGCTCACGTATTCTGCGGACTGCGTATGCAGCGGAGCTTAATCTGCTGGCCAGGGACGATACATGTGGAAACCATTGAAGTTTACTATCTAAGGTCACTACCAAGAAGACTGCTTTATTAACAAGGTCTAAATTTTCTCCGTTTATTTCTAAGCTTGGACTAGTCGATTTTACGTTAGGTAATTCAAATTTAACACATTTTGTCTTCTTGGCATTAAGCAATAAATTGTTATCATTAAACCAATAAACTACCTTACAGAGGGTATCATTAATATGGTCATAGTTAATGTCATGTCTGTCTGTTTTAAAAATCTCAACACTATTTCGCAATGGTCCTTAACAAAGAATGGCAGATCATTAATATAAATCAGGAATAAGAAAGGTCCAAGTATTGAGCCCTGCGGAGCACCCAGTTTTACTGGAGAACCCAAAGAAGTCACTCCATTTATGTCTACTTGCTGTATTCTACCGTTGAGATATGACGAGACAAGTTTCGACGCCTTGCCATTTACACCGTAATGTTCCAGCTTCCTAATAAGAGTAATATGATCAACGCAATCAAATGCCTTTGAGAGGTCACAGAAAACACCAATAGCGTTCTGGGACATTTCCCAGGCATCAAAGATGTGTTTTAATAACGCTACCCCGCATCGCTAGCCGATCTACCACTAGTAAACCCGTATTGTTCACTATGAAAATATGATTCCTACAGAAATAGGACAGTAATTGAGTTAGCATAACCCTTTCGAATATTTTACTTAAAGCTGGTAAAATTGAAATGGGCCTATAGTTGCTAGGAACAACTTTCCTACCGCTTTTGAATAAGGGAATAACCTTGCTGTATTTCATTTAATCGGGAAAAACACCTTCGTCAACGCACCTATTGAAAGCTACAGCTAACTGTAGGAAATAAGATCAATAACTGAGTCTATAACTTTAGTTAACATGCCCCAGAGATCTTCAGTTTTTTTAACATGTATTGATTTAAAAGCTTTTATGATGTCTTGTAGATTAACATGACGGAAATTAAATAAACTGCCACAAACGTTAACATTTTCCTTTAGAAGATCAATAGCAAGTGAAGGGGAGGAATTTAATGATTTTGTAGTGTTCAAAAGCTTGGGCTACTTTATCTTTA